GTTGTTAAATTTTTTTTAAATTAATTTATATTTATAATTTAGCAAGAATCGAATCATTATTAAAATTTTTTTTATTATTAAATATTTTGTATTTTTTAAATTTACATTTTTCTATTTTAATTTTTTTTTTTAGTTATTATTTTTAGAGCCCCCTTTCGCTTTTTTTTTTTTTACATACAAATATGCAAAATTCTCAACTAGGAATATATTGTATTTATTGTTTACTCCAGTACTATAAAGTAGATAATGGAATTGTTTTTGTTTTGATTTTTTTTTTTTTTGCCTGTCTACGGCCAATAATTTGTATTTCAGACTACATACAGCATAAATTAGATTCTAATCGATTTGATGGGATTTTTGTTAATTTCAAACGTCACATTTCCAGTATTTGAATCGTGCAACCGGTTACAATATCGATGTCGTCATGTTCCAGAAGTTCATGGGACATTGTGTTTCGTATTTCGTATTTCGCATTTTGATTTCTGCATATTTAGTTTGTATATAATTAGTGTTTAGCTTACCTGAAACCCGATATCGCATTCAACAAACTGCTTTTTCCTGCCCCCGAGGGGCCCATTATAGCCGATAGTTGTCCATTGCGGAAGCTGCCGCTTACACCTTTCAAGATTTGCTGCTGCCCAGCGAAGCGGACTGCAAACAGCAAACAACAAACAACAAATGAATCAAATGATGAGTTAGAATTGGAATTTCGATGGATCACAACTAATTGCTAATACAACAATATACAATAAATTACTCCAAACTGAATCACTTTTCTCATCATATGTATACCCTGTACATTTGAGTGAGGCAAATCGTTTATCTTTATGACGGCTCTTTATGCTTTGTTGGGGTAATAAAAGTCAAGAAGTAGCTGAATAGTTTATGCTGTTCAAGTTTTACAGCGCTCACAGTCATTACACCCAAGACAGGTGTGAAATGAAGAGGTAAAACTCGGAACTCACAGACCACATCAAATCGAATCGTAACGAACTGCTCGTCAGTCAGTTACCATTCAGCATGACTTGCTCAATTGACAATAAACGAAATCCAAGCGCCCAAAACACGTTTTATGTTGGAGCACAACACGGCGGATGGCTAATTAATTCTGTTTGACTAGACAGCGTCAGGAATAGTTTAATGACAAACGATCTGCCTTGACTTAACGTTATTTTCTAATTATATTTCAATAATAAGCAAAAAACTGAATACATTGCATATATATATACATACAAATATGTGTGTTTGTATAAAGTCTGGCTGGATGGCAAATGTGATTTATTAATTAATTGCGTTTTTTTTTTAAGGATTTCCAAGGCCTTTGCACGTTCCTTGTCTGTGAGTATTTGTGTCAATTCAATTTTATTGGTCTTATCAACAGCCCTGAACATTTGCCACATCTGACGAATACACGTATATATATAAATACATACTTATATGCGAAAGTAAGCTAATGGGCTAATGCAGCCGGCTTAGCTTCACGAGCTGCCTTCCTTATCGACAGTCGAAAATTATCAACATTTTTGCAATTATTAATAAAACTATCAGCAGTTGAACTTGAACTGGATTATAGCTGGATTTCTCTTTTCACATGTCATCCCTTATGTCTAGACTTGCCGCTCAAGGCTGATAATGATCCAAGTGAACCTTTAACAGTCTCTGAATGGAAATTTATTTAGACTCACTGAACGTGAATACTAGGCTGATAACAATGGGAAATGACGGAAGTATTATGCTGGTGAGATATTCAATTAATCAACATTTTAGGGTTTCTTACTACACATAAGACACCATACAAAACGCATACATTAATCTAGGCAAATACCTCTATGAACATAGCCAAAAAACTAAAGAAAATTAGTTTAATCAATAATCTCTTGGTTATTTATATAAGTAGTAGTTGATGTTACCTTATCATCTTTCAATGTTCGACTTCAGGATCAATATATGCTCAGAAAATAGAAGTAGATAAAGGAATATATAAATATATATATTGGAGGCCGACAGGTTATCCACAGCTGTTGGAAACTCAATAGGACTATTCTAAGAGCTATCTCGAGGTTATATTCCTATCAAGGTTATGCTTGAAGTATTTATAAATGTGATATGCATTTTAAAATGATAATAATGGATGTTGTAACTGTAATTTTGTTCATTATAGGTATAGGACAATTGAAATTAAAATCACGCAATCCAGGTCTAATAAGCACTGCCAAAGCAGGGCTTTCATTCAGACAACATTTACTTTTGTCTGGAACTCGAACCCACTAACCCTTGATCCATAGCATTTTGTAATTATATAGTTCAGATATATTATATATATATATAATGAGCTATAGTTTTCTAATTGCTAGTGTCTCTTCTGGCTTTGCTCTACTCTACGGCGACTACTCAGATCTCACAGCCTTAGCTTTAAGCACTTCAGAGACTTGCATAGACCTCCCATCGAGCTAGATCAATCCATTGGAATTCCTTGCGCAACAGCCAAAAATCGCAAATACGTGTAAATCAAAGAAGGTCAGCGGCAAAGCTCCTAAGCAAATCAACGAGAGCTCTACAGACTTAGTATTAGAGTCGTTGTGTCGTATACCCATAGACCAGTGGCCAAGTTTACATATCAATTAGCTTTTCGCAAATATATGTTTTGCTTTGTTTTCAATTTATTGTTTGCATTTGCTCAACAACAACAACAACAACAACAAAAGCAACAGCAATACGTTGAAGCCAAGTTCTGAATTCGAGTGTTTTGGCTTTCGTCATTGAGGGCGATATTTGCTGTTGGCCACGCCCACTCTCGTATTGACCAGGCGCCAGTGTCAAAAGTAGGTGAACTTCAGTGGACTGACTACCTGTACAGTGAAACACACGAGTACGAGAACGAGTACGAGTGAACAAACATCGAGTGAGTCAGTCACAAAGTGCGACGTGATCAAATTGTTAAATTCAACTGAAAACTTTAAATGCGTCCGGGTGGGCGGCTGGCCTGTTCCGCGAGTCGAGAACGTGACAAAAACTGGGGCCAACACTGATCGTATTTCGATAGATTCACTTAATGATCTATCAGCAGATAAACGTGACCGACCGGATCAACCGGCTCGCCCAATCATACATTTTAGCATTATGAGATCAGTCTATAATCTATTCATTGAATCACAAAGCAACATCAATAATTGCTGCAATTTAGTTAATGTGTCTGGAAAGTCTCTTGGCTAGCTAAATTCCAAATTGTAGTGGGCCTATAAACATAATCGAATAAACATGAATCATATATTAACTTCATGAAATTTTCAGAATAAAATCAAATTAAATCAAATGTATATAAAGTTTCTAGGTCTAAAGGTGTTCAAAATATATACAAAAAAAAAAAAAAGCATTTTTTTATTGATTATTCTCGATAAAAAAAAAATGCAAATTAATATTTTTTATTGATTTCAATGCGCAGTAAGATAATTTAATATCAATTTATCTTTGTGCTAATTGTTAGAATGTTTAATAAATTAAAAATTATATTGATGTGGATAGGTAAAGCGTGAGCTACAAGTCAATACAAAATCAGCTTAATACGGGGTTTGATACTCGTTCACGAAGTGCAAAGGGAAGAGTATACTTTTTTTGTTTATGGAATCAAGAGGTTTGTAATTCGGAGTTGTACATTCTTATTGTTTTTTTTTTAAGTATTGGATATACCCTTTAAAAATAAGGAAACACCTTTTCTATTGTTTTTTTGACTATATTATATAGGGCGCTTTTATAAACATTTACAGGAAAACTCGTATTCTCTACAACTTTTCAACTGTTTACTTAATAAATAAATAATAAGAAAAAAAACAGTATTTTTATATTTACGTTTCATGCGACTTCAGTTTATTTTTATGCTTGTTTATTAATGTGATACGTTAAGCTATAAATAAGATATTAAAATGTAGATAGTTTAGATTTTATTTGTGGATATTATATTTAAAAAAATATAAAAATTTTCCATTTTAATTTGATTGATAATTCATTATAATCAGGCATTCGATTAAGTTAGCTGCAGTGTGAACTCATTTATCTTACTCGGACATTAATCTCGATTTTCAATTGGCACTCCATAAATTCAAGTGTCGATTGAGAGTGTTTTGCATTGCATTAAAGAAACACAAGTTCATTGATAAACTCAATTGCCTCTTCACATTACTTAAGTCGAGGGCGCTGTAATTCACAAATGCATGACAAATTTGCATTCAACAAACTTAAATATCTAATTTGTTTTATTGATGGCGATTTAATGGCTGACTTAGCACACAATGAATATATTATCATTTGACTAGGTGAGATGATGAAGTGTTGCAAAAATGATTGGAAATATAATTTAAATAAATCATTAGCCACAATTAACGAGGCTTTTTATTACAAACACAACTACTTTCATGGTAGCACGTAAGGCTAATCTAACAATAGTGGGAATACTTGATCGTAGATTACCTGTATTGTTTACTTTTAATATAAACATATTACTTAATCTAAAAGTATACTTTCAACGTCTCATATAATATAATACGTAATATTTCCTATTTCATAAATTGAATATATTCTTAACTAAGATTAATAGCTGATACATCTACGCTCGCCAGTCACGCAGATCTAATCAGCTTCATTTCTCAGCGCTTGTCATATAAATAGGTATAAACCAGACTGAGCTTAAATTATAAAGAAAGAATGAGAAAACCTCTCCATCCCGATGGGGAGTTACTGCATACTCACTTATGACATAAATGAGTCAGTTTGTATTACGGAGCGCGCTCAGTTTCGAGGAAAAGCTGGGAAAAAGCGCCGACTACAGAAATGGAAATTACCGCAGCGAGTTTTCAATGAACGCGCATAAGGGGAAAATTATTCAATCAGAGTTGATCAATTTTTTTTCTCGCGTTTTGCTTTTGTTTTTGTTTTTGTTTTTTTCTTAAATTTCGTTATTCCAACTTGCAACATAATCGAGTTGCGGCTACTCGTATTGTTGTTTATGTGCATGACCATCAGGCGAGCATCATAATGATGATGCTGTTGCTGATAATGATGAAGGCGCAGCTCGCGCTTAGTTCGTGCAACAAGTGATTTTCATGAGGAAGTAACTCGTAGCTGAGCACAATTTGTGGATACATACACATGCACACACTTATGTTTACATATATCTATGTGGGTATATAAATATATATGCTTATGTATGTGTGCCCATTTATCGCCTATTGTGATATTCCGCATGCGGCGACATCGCGCGCCTCTCATTGCACATTGCACATGGCGTATGAGCAATGTTGATTAGCTCCGTGAACATTGCCCAAGAAAAGTCTGTTTTTTGTGCAACTCAAACGAGAGACGATATATATAATATATAAATAGCTATCACTATTAATCAATTAGTAATACGAGTGAGTAGCTAATAATTAACTCAGCTGAAGCTAAATTGGCGGCATTTCAAATGAGTAAATCTCCTTTCTCACCTGTAATTGAATATTCATATATCTGATAGCATTCGTTTGAATACAGTTGATCAGCACTGATAGCTTAAATATATATAATTAACAGTGTTTTATGCAAATAGGCATATCTCACGTTTTATTTGCTGTGCGAGCTGTGACGTCACGCGAAGACGGCTCCAGCTGACTCAGTTCGAATCGCGGCCAATTCGACTGCCAACTGCCCAGAGCACGTACAACTAAATGTATGCGTACTTTGGCTCTGTGACAGTGCAAAAATCGAGGCGTACTGTGAACTTGGGCGTCTGGCAAGGGCTTTGCTTCGAACAAGTCGAGCATCGAAAAGCTTCGTTTCGAATCAATTTATGTGTCAATGGCGAAATACTCCAAGTACTCTGAGCTGCCGAGACATTGGTCTGACGGAAACAAGTTTCGATCCGATGGGAATGAGAAACTCAGCCAATAGCTGAGCAGCGCTGACCAAATTGCAATACATTTGACAAGTACTGAAAAAACGACAGCTGTCAACGAGCGAACAAGAAATAAAGCAAGAGTTGCACAATTTATAGCTAGAAAATACCCTACAAATATCGAGTATTGTGTAGATGTATCGCTTTGTGTTTCATTATAGATAATTTGAGCAACCCATATACAAAGTTTCCTATATATAAGTCATATAGAGAGCCAGGTCAATGATCAAATGAAAATGCATATTATAAAGAGAATAATATACACACAATAATAAGATATAATCAAGAATTATTCTATGCAATCCCATTAACCGTATGTGATCTATATATAGATATATAGATCCCAAGTTAAATGGGATCATTCAGAGCTAATGATTACAGTTAACACCTGAACACAGCTGAACAAATTGCATCTGATTTAACAAATACTAAAAAAAAAAGATGATTGACAAATAAATATCAAGATATAAAACTGCAAAAAATCATTAGAAATAGTATGCCACTATTAAATACCCTATATATTAAGTGTATATATATACATATATAATTT